AGTAAAAAAAAAATAACACTGTATTAAAATTCTTTGCAAAAAGGAAGGCTCTTCTGAACTCTGGCCCTTCATATACGATGACAAAAATGGGTTTGGCTGTATCAAGAAGGAAGAGAGATCTGTGAAGATGACAGTGACTGTCTTTACCGAAGAAATTGATCAAAGAATTGATAAAACTTAGATTCGGAAGCGGAAGGGCGAAAAAAATTAAAAGTGCTAAAATCGACGTAGAAAAGTATGGCTTTTTTATGTTATATGTCTAGGATAGCAAGGAAATATTACTAATTGATTATTTTCCAAAGGGAACTACAATAAATGACCAGTATTACGCGTGAGGTGGCGAGGGATGTGTTAAAAGCTACTGGATTTACAAAAATTTACCACCCACCCCACAGTTCGGGTTCCCAGTGGCTTCTTCCTTTTTTCAAATTCAAAAAAGGTGTTACGGGTACGACGATTTCCAGACGACAGTGAGATGAAAGCGGCATTTTATTCACGATTGTAAAAAGTGTATTTCACTTTAGGGAGACAATATTGGAAAGAAAAAAACATAAAACTTTGTTTCATTAAGTACATTAGGCCGTGAACTTGTTAGCCGACCGAGTGTAGATCTTCCTTTTCCTCTTCTACAATCGACGTGTACTAAATCGTATACTTTCAAAGCTAAATTGTTTTCATACACCGGTGTCTCTTAATTCGCTAAATCGAAGATCTACGCCAATGTCGTTGTATATCTCATACAGCTCATCGTTCCGTTGTATACGATATTGAACGTCGCCAGTACGCAAAGGTTGATGTATCTGCAAATCGTTTTTAGCAAAAAGTTTCAATTTCGACTTATCGGTCATCGTCTATCTTCTGCAGTATATATCGTACCGTGTAGAGATGGCTTTAATACTCAGTACAAGGTATCGGTTGTTGACAAAAGTCATTCTGTGCTTCATTTCGAGGCAGCTTTTTAAGAACGATTATAGTAAAATCTTCAACCAACGGTAGCATTTCTAAACTCTTGTAGAAGAGTTTACGTTCTAAGCGTAGCTCCTCAGCTCATATAATTTTTTCCAGCATTAGGTTAAAGGAGTCACACTATAAAGAGTCCTCTTATCTGAAACGTCGTTTAGTATCGAACTTCTCGAAAAGGTCCTACTCAATTCTGATCGCTCTTCAGGTTTTGTTCAGCTTTAGCTGCAATTTTCCGAGAATTTCTACATCAAACAGTGCTCCTTTTCGTGCTATCCGATGTCCAACAAAAGTTCTTTTAGAGGTTTAGACTAAGAATCAGCAGTTTCGAGTGTTTTTTTTTCCTCTTTCTAACCTCGACACAGTCGGATGCTATCACATCACGTCACCGCTCTCATTGCAAGATTTGTATTCGCCATATTCGAATGTTTCACCAGCTAACAGCAGTTTATCATTTTAAAACCTACCGGGTATTGTCTCAAACTTGGATGCTTAAGTAAACATTGATGATGTTGTACCGTTAGAAAATGAGGATTTTGAGCTTCTTCGTGCACAAAAGTTGTGGATTTCATTTAATTGACGTAATTTAAATTTTGCTTTGCTACGTTTTTACAGATTACGGTCAACACATACAAGTACACACATACATATTTTCGATTTCCAGCCGATTTGAAGCTGAGGTTTGTGTTTTGCAACACAAGTCTTCATATACCACTTTTATCTGCTTAAATCAGAAACCTGAAAAATGCATGGTATGTTTCCAACTCATTTCTCATTGTTTTTGCTGCACTTCTTGATAACAATATTCTGTTAATTTGACGAAAATTTCCCCAGGGCCCACGGATGGCCGAAGATGCATGCGTACAAATGCTTTCATGCCTGCCCACATGCGTACCAGCAGAACAGAGTTCACTTATGGTGCAACACACATGCATACATACACTCGTTTGTTGCATAATTACAGTGATCGTTTTGGAAGTGAACACAATAACTTGCCACAGCCACTTACATATGTACATACATACAATCAATGCACACTTATCCGCCGCCTGTAATGGACGTCTTTGATTGTTTTCGCATGCAATTTTTGGTTGTACAACCTCATGTACATATGTATGTGTTTGATCTTTTGTGCTGATTTTTTTATTATGCTTGCTTCTTCACTTCTTTTTATGGTATCTTTACATGCATTTTTGGCAATTGTTTTGGACACTTTTCGGACTTTCGCTGCTCTGTGACTTCCGATGTTACTGTTGATTAAGTTCCAATGAAAAAATTCTTGCTGCGTGCTGTGTTGATTTCTCCCATTCTTTCGCTCATTATTTGTTGTATTTCAAGCGAGTGTTCTTTTTTCGTTGCTTCAGCACTGCTTTAACTGCTTTTCGGGGCAAACCAATTTAGTCAGTCGCTCGATAGGGTTAACCAAGCATGCCAGCCTACCAACCGCTTATGCACCGCCTGCTGCTCATGTCATATCAAGTTATCTCGGCCAAAGTACTGACAACATAATATTAAGGCCAATTAGTGGCCAAAATTTATATGCAACCTTTAGTTCGCACAAAAGTTTCGGCTTCCCATATTTTATTTTATTTTATTTTTTTTGTACTTTTTTTATGATATGTTGAATCTGTAGGAGTTAATGCAGGCGTGCTGAGCCGCAACCTGCCAATGAAAACATCTCTGTACTTTGCTTGTAATTTCTCTCTTTTTATGGCATTAATTTTCCATGCGCACGTTTTTGACGCTTCTTCCCCACGGCAATTCGTACCTTAATTAGCGCTTAATGCAGCAATTGTATGCAATTTTTAAAAAACTTCACAAACTTAGCAATGGAGTTTTATGCGTAAAAGAAAAAGATCCGAATGTTTGCTTTTTCTTGTCAATTAATTGCTCTATCGCAGGAACTGGAACCTTCATTTGCTAATTTGCTTTCCAACCGTTTATTAAATGTTCATGTGTGTATGCACGTTTAATAGCTTCACTGTGATTTTTCTTTTCCTCATTTATGTATGTATGTATGTATACCTTCAGTCTTTATTTATTACACTTCTGAGTTTAACATTTCGTTTGGCTTCATGCCACACCTTTCCACGCCAGTCAGCTGGCAATCATTAAAGTCAGTCAATGACCAAGTAACCTAATCCAATGATACTGTATATGTACAAACGAATATCTATGAAACTGTCGCTAAATGCACAGCTGTCACACGATATGTCAAAGCAGTAACAGTATTCAATCAATCAATTCAATCACGTGACCAGTCCAGCAAAGAGTAAGCGAGCACGTGTGCTTTGATATGCAAGTAAAGTTTGTAACACATGCAAAGCTTTGAAGTAAGCACACTGACGCTTGAAGCATGAAAATAAATCGTTAGACTCCAATGCTTTCCTTATGGAGTGTGGACGACCAGATATCGAAATATCGTAAATAAAAAAGCAAAACTTAAAAGATAGTTAACAAAATTTATTAAAAATTGTAGGGCTCCTTATTTAATGGAAAACCCTCTAGAGGAGAAGCTCGGCAAAAAAGCACCTTCAGCGGTTACGAAGCGACAACTATATATAAATATTGTTACGATTTTACTAAATCAACCTCGATTATTTTCTAGATCCTTCGGGTACGATCTCTGGATTGTTAAATAAAAACTCGCCAACTTAATTTGCAGTTTCTTTCGTTATAAAGATTCTATCTAATGTCCTTTATTTTCTCAGTAATTCACAATTCAATTATACTGCACTTTACTATTTATAATCACTAACATCAACTTTCACAATTTACTCTACTTAAATGTAATCTCCAACGCGTTTACTTTACGACTTTACTGATGTTAACGCCAACGAGTTCACTTTGTCACTAACTTGACTTGCAGCTGAGTGTCGCCTTTATATAGCAGTCGGCTGCTCGCAGACGAAAGCGTAGAAGCATCGAATTGTTCGCTATGGAAGGTTCTTGTTTTATCTTTTCTAGAACGTACTAGTTATCGGCTTCTCTCTTTCATCTGACATTCGCCTCGCATTTTCGCAACAATATATATAAGGACCTTATTACTGAAGAATGATATAGACCGATACCTGTTCTGATTTAGAATATGGAATTTTATCCACCACTATTTCGAATTTGAAACTCCTGCAGAGTCGTCATGAAGCCAAAATGGCGGCTAACACCCTAAAAGATTTATTAGCTTTTCACATCACCCATAATACCCATACTAACACATACAGAACACTAGTATGGTGGACGACACCAAAGAAGAAGTGACGCATTCAATCAGAGCGCGATGAAAACTACCTAAACAAAAATCCAGGAATTTATCCTCGCCAATTGATATATAAGTAAGGTATAAAACAGGATGGGCTCGTGTGTAGAAGTCCACGTAAGAGTAACCTGGTACTGTTATGGTTCAAGCCTTGTTTCCTCTGGGTAGCCAACAAACATTCGTTTGGTGGCGACTTAAAGTGAGGAGGCGATTCTCTGCAGTTGACTGTAGGGTTTGGCACCCACAACACGAAAGAAAGCCTTTCGACCACTGGTGGATGCCGAGAAAAAGGGAGACCTGCTATCCATTGAAAGCATCAGTTGGAGTGCGAAACTACTGGCCCGTTCTCGTATACACGCCAATTAGGAATACAATGCTTTGGTCTATTGTAATAGTGAAGACATTTTTATTTATTCTGATGGGTCCAATTACAAATGAGAAATCTTTAAGGTTTTGTATAGACTTTTATGTGGATTTTAGGGAGATTAAATGTGTGAATTATACAAAGTCTAAATAGAGGTGAGAACATGCAAGACATGAGGACTCTCTCACCAGAATATCACGGAAAACACCTGGTCAATCACAGAGAAAGCTAGGTAAGGAAGAATCGGCTGAGGACAGAATATAGAAATAGTCATTAAACATACCATCAGCATCAGCTTACTGTTGCAAGGAAAATTCAAATACTCAGAAACATTTCAAACGTCATCCAAGACACGAACCTTAGTTCCAACTTGGCAGTGCCGTAAATAATTATCCCAAAACAGATGGTTATGCCACTTTAAAATTGGCATAATTCATAAAAGGAAAACAACAATTCACAAATGTTTGTCGGCTTGGGAAGGTCATTGCTTAATAAAAAAATAGGCAGCGTATTTTTATTAACCTCCGGCGTAAAGAAAATTTTTCTAAACCCAAATAATTACGTCAAATTTTTAACAAAAATAGAACGGAATCTCGAGTACAGCACTTCTTGCAACATGTCGAAAACTGCATTAGTTATACTTGCACCTGGCGGCGAAGAAATGGAATTCGTTATTGCCGCTGATGTCTTGCGGCGAGCCGGGGTAAGTAAACATTACGTTCAATCGGTAGAAATTTATATGTACACACGTATTTGCTTAGGTTAAAGTCACGGTTGCCGGTCTGCTTGGTGGAGATGCTGTGAAATGTTCGCGCGATGTTTGCATTGTACCCGACACTTCATTGGATATTGCAAAGGGCAGCATATATGATGCCATTGTTTTACCTGGCGGCCTTGGTGGTGCCAAAGCAATGTCAGAAAATGCTGAACTCGGCGCACTACTCAAAGAACAAGAGGCCGCCGGACGTATTGTGGCAGCAATTTGTGCTGCGCCTACAGCACTAGTGGCTCACGGCATTGGTACTGGCAAGAGTTTGACTTCGTATCCATCGGTAAAGAAACAATTGGAGGATGCTTACCAGTAAGTGCAACGCATTGAGATTAATTTGTTGATAAAAAATTTACGTTTCACACGCATAACAGATATGTTGACGATCAGAAGGTGGTACAGGATGGAAATTTAATAACCAGTCGTGGACCTGGTACGGCTTTTGACTTTGGCTTAAAACTGGCTGAAGTATTGGCTGGAGCCGATAAAGCCAAGGAAGTAGCAAAGGGCATGCTACTAGCATAAATAGAATCATAAACTTCATACTGTAATAATATATATTCAATGTAATTGAAATAAAACTATACATTTATATGCTCAAAGCAATAAAAACGCGCCCAAGGAATATTGTTTTAAGACCTTGTCGGTAAGTAATAATTTTTAGGTCATGAAAAACCACAATACGATCTTAAGCGTAAATTAAATATGTTAAGATTTTGTTTATTTAATGTTTTTCTTTATTCATTTCACGCAATTTTTTTTGCTTTTCTGTGTTCATTGTTTTTTGTAGTAATTTCTATATATGTATTTCCCTCTTTCTATCCGTTGTATTATGTTATTGTAATCTTTGTTGTATAATATATATATTTATATATCAATTGCCATAATAATCTTATATGCTTTATATACATATTTATACATGTATGTATGTATAAATGGTAATACATATGTATGTATAATATACATACAATTTATCATCTAAACAATTTCCGCACTCGCTTTCTTTGTCTTAATGGTTCATTCTTAGAATTCATTTTCAATTTATTTAAATATTACATTTTTTTAATTGCAATGCTTTTTATTATTGCATTTCAAAAATTCCTTTTTTACTAGGCATCTCTTTAGGTTTTTCGAAAATAAATTTTCAATTTAATTTTTATCGAAAATTAACAAACTTAACACATCCTTAACTTTTAAAGTGTAAGTTATGGCGCGAAATAAATGCTAAATGATAATGTGAGTAGATAAAAATCAAAAAAAAAAATAGTTAACATTGTCTTTTAACCAAAAAGAAGTTTTACAAAAAAAAAAATTTATATTTTCTGTTAGCATAGGACCATAATACGTCAGTAGTTGGTAGAGAGCGAGAATTTTGATTGAAAAATTTATAGTCCTTAACTTACTTGCCTTTCGTTAGTCAAAAAGGGTTTCAAATTAAATGTTTTTTATTAAGAATAAAACTTGCTTCTATTTGCTTGAAAGAGTTAATAAATTTAAATATAATTTAATAAAAAAAATGATGTTAAGCATAAATTTTAAAAATTCCTCAAATTAATGTTTTCCAGTTTTTAAATAGTATAAGTACCAATAACTAAATTTAGACTTTGTTTTTTTTTACATATTTTTTTATTTATTATTTTATTATTAATATTATAATTTCTTTTTCTCTTTTATTTGAAAAATGTATACAATTGTGTTTAATTTCCGAAAATATTTTTTTGTTGTATTAATTTATCACACTTTCAAGTGACTCTTAATAAAGCATTAAAAAATTTATTTCTAAAATTTTTGACGCACTACATACTTTATGTATTTGATTTTTGACGCCTTTTTTATTTTCATTTAATTTTTTTTTTTTTCAATTACGCTAAGCGCAATGCTGAAATTGATTTCGCTTTATTTAATTTGTATGCCAAAATGTATTTTTTTTCTTGTGTCTCTTTATACCGCAAAAATCTAAATTAAATAAATATTTTTTTTTTTTGATTTCGGATACCCGGCCTATGCTGTGAACATTTTTGCAATTTCACCAGCTGAACATTGTTTGTAAATGTATAAAATAATTTGGTTAAATTTAACCAAATAAGCAGAATGACATTTCGATTTGATTTAGCCAAATATGAATTAAGTGAATGAGACTTTCCACAAACATTGCGCTGGATCGATTGAATATTATTTAAGAATCGCTCAGAAATCGAAAAAAACAAAAACCACGCTCAACTTCCCTTCAAGTTGTAAAGCTTCGTAATTCATTAAGACTGGAGAATATTAAATATTGAAATTTTGTTTTCTCTTAATATTTATTTCTATCAATATTTGAGGAATTAGTAGAAAAAGTACTAAGCCGTTCAAAAAATAAAAACACACATCTCTAATAAAATAAAATTATTTAAATTTATTCTTCCGCATACAACAGCCGGGTATCTAATGTTCGGTTCCCTCTACGCTTTCATAGTTACTTTATATTAGGTAAATATTTTATAATTTAAACTATTATTATTTCTTGCTGAATCATTTTTTTTTTCTCTGAATCCTTTCGATATAATTTTAAGTCAGTTGTTAAAGAAATTTTCTGAATATAAGCTGACTGCTGTATTTTTGAATTTTGACTTTTTTGGTTTAATTTTAATTTAACTTGTTCTTTACTTAACACGACGTCTTTTTTTTAGTATATCATCAATTTATTTTATGGTTTCTTTATTTTTTTTAATTCATTACGTGTATAAAAATATCAAAAAAGTTGCTTTTCTTTATTTCTTTTTTTTTTTAATTTCATTTTTAATATATTAATATTTTTTTCTTCTGCACTTATCTTTTGCATTAGTTTTTTCATGGTTTTTTTTCATAATTAGCTTGCTGGAACTATTTGTTATAGACGAAGACTTTGCGTTGTGTGTACTCGTACTAGTGCTTTCTTTCAACTTCAACATTCGACTATTGCTTTTTCGGTTGCTTTAAATTAAAAAAGAACATTTTTCATACATTTTTTTTAATAAAATTTTAATGTTAAAAAAATATGCTTTTCTTTATGATTTTTTTCTATCTGCATGGTTATGAAAAAAAAAAAATATTTTATATAACATTTGCGGTGGCTATAAATAATTTGTTTATTTGTGCATTGTTTAAATCGTGAGGGATTGAATAACACTATTTGTTTGATGACCGAAACCACAGCCAACTGAATTAGAGTTGTTAATAGATTCAACATGAATTTTTGTTATTGAAAAAGAAAACTAAACAACATGAAAGAGAAAAAAAAAAAAAAAAACAATTTAAATTAACAACGCATAATATTTATGATGTTTAAAAATGTAAAAAATTCTGTATAAAATGCTTATAAAATCTCGAATAAATAAAATATAAAAATTGTTGAAACCAAAAAAATTTAAGCAAAATAAAAAAATACATACAAATACATATGTATATGCGGCCGCGTTAGCCGAGTGATTAGCATTGCGTACTGACATTCAGAAAGCTCGGGTTCATATCCCAGTGCCACCAACATCCAAAAGTTATGGAAAATTAATTTAAATAAAAAATTAAGTTCAATTTTCTAAATGCGGTCGCCCCTCGTCAGGGAATGTCAACCCCTTCGAGTGTATTTCGGACATGACATAAAAGGCTCCTCATAAAAAATCATAAGACGATCGGTGGCGGCTTAGTATAAACTGTAGCTCCCTCCATTTGTTGGAAAAACATCAAGACGCTAAAACCACAAATTGGAGGAGGAGCCCCGCCGAATAATCGCTTCAGCGGCTAGAAAGCGCCAATTATACATATATATATATATTAAAAAAATTGTTTAATTATTAACACAAATGTTTAACCTAAAAAAAAAATATAGTAACTAAAAATAAAAAAGCAAAGCTTAACAAAATAAATAAAAATAAAAACTCAAAAAACGCAAAAAAGGTTAAAAGAAATATTAATTTAATTTAAAATACATACAGCATAGACATAAGTAAAATACACGTAATAAAACTAAAAACAAATAAATTATAAACTACAAAGTTTTCCAAAAAAAAAGTATAATTTTTGTGGAGTTTTTCAATTTTTATTATAGATTTTTTTTATTTCAAAAACAAATTACACAATTGATAACCTATTTACTTTAGTTTTGATATTTATCTATGTATGTATGTTGTATGGCTTTAGTTATAAATTATATATTTTCGCTGTTTTGTACATTGTTTACTAAAAATGTGGTTTTTAAATTTATTTTTACAACTGTTTTTGCTTTGATATACCAATCAATCCTAACAATACTTTCCATATTCACACATTGAAGTGCTAAACTGAAATTGGCACAAGTACAAATGGTGAAAGAATGGCAGAAGAAGAGAATATTTTTCTTCATACAACTACCATTGCCCGAGTGACAGCGGCGGTATTCAGCTCCTTATATTTTTAACATATCACACACATTTCCCCACTTCAACGAATTGAAAGTATTGCTTTGGTTGTCAGTCATAGTGTTACTGCTTCATTTTTACATTATAAAATTGCATAAACAATTTTGATATAGTATGTTTGTATGTATATAGCATCGATTGTTTTACACCGGCCTTCTGGTATCGGCTGTCACTTATGCCATTCTGCTTACTTCATTCAATTTTGTTTGGTTGTGAACTCACGAAAGTCTTATACAGTAACTGAACATACATAGGTTTATTACATACATAAAAACAAAAATGTGTAGGAAACATAAATATTGTTTTTGCCTTTTTTTTTGTAAATCGTTAATTTTAAGCGCTCAGCACAAAACGGAAAAATATACAGAAAAAAAATTATTTACGAGCAGGTTTGTTTTTGTTTTTTTTTTGTTTAAGAAAAAATAGAAGGTATACAAAAGTATGTGTCGTTACTGTTTTGTTGTTGTTGTTGTACATTAGTTGCATAATTTATGAATATATTTTGAGAAACAGAAATAATAGCAGTGCAGCGCAGTCATTAAATTAACTAATTTATTTCACTTTTTTCTTTATAATATATATGTATATAATAATTTGTTTATAACTAACTTTAACCATTTCGCAGTTATTCTTTAATGTTGTTGTTTTTTTTTTTCTTTTTTTGTTTTGTATATATTGTATATAATAATAAATTGTAGTATGCACTTATCATTTGCGATTATTTTTCACTTGATACCTTTCGTTTTATTCAATGCTCTTTAATATTATTGTAGTTGCAATTTTAACTGTAGTGTAAAAAATAAATTATGTTCATTTATTGGTTTCCGTTTTATACTTTTTTTTAAATTTTTTTTTTATTTACTTAATAGTAGTAGTTGTAGTTGCAATATATACTAATATTGGTAGTTGTAGCAGTAATTGTTGCTTTTCAATATATCTTTATATATGTATAAATTTTTATGTATGTGTTTGCAATTTTTATTAGCAGTTTAAACTCATGTTTATTACTATTACTTTAAAGTGTATTATTATTATTATTATTATTAATTATTATTATTATTAATTATTATTATTATTAATTATTATTATTATAATTAATTATTTATATTATATATAATTTTTTACGTTGCTTTTGCTGAGAAAAAACATGCTGCTGTTGGTTTATGCTGATGCGGCTGTGCCATTATGTCCACTACTGCCATTTTATTCCTTACATTTTTCTTTAGCTTATGTAGTTCTTTTCCCCCTTTTTTTGGTTCACAGTAACTTAGGTTGCCAGTCATTTTGTAGCGTTGCTACAATCACTGCTTAAAATTGTATAAAGACTGCACTTTTAGTGGCCAATTGCGGTGGCTCCGCCATTCAAAGAAGTAAAATCCGCGAAACCAGCCCAACAATTACTGAAAGTGGTCTGCAATTCCTCATGTGCAACCAGCACCCAGTAGACCCACATAAACAGCCCTACATTTCGCTTTCTATGGTATGTATGCATGCAGCAATTTCAGCCAACACAACAGCTTTTAAATTATTGCAAGTTGAATATTGCAACAGCATGCAACATATTCGTAAATGTATGGGTGTATGTAGGCTGTTGTGGCGGCAACTGTAATTGCGAAAACAGCGACAATCAAAATTTGTCGCAGTTGCAGTCGATGGTATGTTAGTTGTTGTTGCTGCTGTTGTTGCTGTTGAATTTGTTTCTCAAAATATTCATGAAAATGGTGGTGATGACGATGATGGCAGTAATGATCATAAGGACGATCAACATATTGGTGACGACATTGACATTTGCAATGTCAATCGCATTTTATTCGATTCTATTGCATCGATGCAAGACCAGCCGAACTGCTGATGTGCGATGAATTGCCTAATGTGGATGCCATATCCTGATAGCTGAACTGTTGGTGTAGGGAAAAACGTATGTAAATGTTCAATTTAAATTGGATTATAAAATAAACTAACCTGCGGGAAAAGCGGCTCTTCTGCAATAGAACCCAATGTACCAGCAGGGTCTGGCGGCGTCAATTCCACACTTTCACCCGTAAACTCTGTATCGAAATAGCGTGTATCTGTATCGGATACTACTTGTGGTTTAAAAGGCGGTGTTATCTAAAAAAAAAAAAAATAAAGAATGTTTATATTTTATTATACCGTTTAAGGGAATTGAGTTGTTGTGATATGGACACTTTGATTATATAATTTAATCTACAGTGAATATTTATCTTGCGGTATATATTTAAGGGTATATGTATGAGTTTATAATCCAAAATCTCATTCCAATCTTGGCGGTTCCTGGAAATGATATTTAAATATAAAAATGCATATGTGTACCACGTTTGGTTAAAATATTCGTATATCAAACTGAGGGACTAGTATCCGTATAAGCAGGCGCACAGACGGTCATGGCGAAATTTCTTCTAATTTTTGGGTCCAAGTTTATTTAACTTTTTCGTATGCATGAAACCTATACATTTTAACTTAATTATTAATTGATTTTTCCATAATTTTGAATGTCGGTCAGGTCAGGACTCGAATCAATGACCTTCCCCGTGGTGTTGTTGTTTTTGTAACCGAAAAAATGTTCCCCAAAGTAGTTTTTGGAGTGACAGTCTTTGACCGAATAAAAATCCGGGTCGTTCCGGTCGCGGTAGCTATTGAATTTTAGTCGCCCAAGAACCTCTAACCCACAAGTGTTATCTTCCGATTGGTGTTGTTATTGTTGTTGCAGCAGTTCCCTATCCCCGCTAAGGAGCAGACAAGATCATGCATAGAGGTGGATAGCGTCATGAGGAGACTTATTATCTGCAGGACATAAGTTGGGTACGTCGAGATCAAGTCTGGATAGGTAGGAATTTAGACAAGTCATATGAACTACTAACCACTTGGCTATTGCTTCCACAAAATATTATATCACAAAATCCAAGAACTTACCCTCTTATTCACTAAATCCGTCCAATTAATACTCGCAAAGAAGGGATGCGCTTGTATTTCTTTGACATCATCTTGCCCGCCACCTAAACGTTGACGGGGATCTTTAGCCAGCAGGCCGGCAAGTAAACTGCGCGCCTCATCCGAAATTGTGCGGGGAAATCTTACCTCCTCCATTAAGATAAGTGTGAAGAGTACATCATGATCTTGATTAAAGAAAGGAAGACGTCCACATATCTATTGAAGAAATAGTAAAAAAAAAAGAGACCAAAATTCAAGCAACATTCAAGCAATTATTATAACAATCCATCTACGCACCATCTCATACATGACGACACCGGTTCCCCACCAATCGACTGCATGCCCATAATCGTTGTCCTCCAATACTTCAGGCGCCAGATACTCTGGCGTACCGCAGAACGTCTTCGTAGTACGACCATAAGTGATATCCTCTTTACACAGCCCGAAATCAGCAATCTTAATATGACCATCCTTGTCCAACAATAAATTTTCCAATTTTAAATCACGATATATAATACCCTGGGAGTGTAGATAACCCAAAGCAGAAATTATTTCAGCACCATAAAAACGCGTACGACTCTCACTGAAAAGACGTTCACGACTCAGGTGAAAGAATAGTTCACCACCATTTACGTATTGCATCACAAAACACAGACGATCGTTTGTTTGAAATGAATATTTAAGTGACTATAAAGATAAATTAAAAATATTGTGTAAAATTTAGAATTAGAATTAATTATTTGTTTACTTACAATTAGGAAGGGGTGATTCGTGGTTTGCAGAACACGACTCTCGGTGATGGTGTGCGCGATTTCATCCTTTTGTATGATAACCTCTTTTTTGAGAATTTTAATTGCATACAGCTTTGCGGTCGCCTTCTCACGACACAGAATAACTTTGCCGAAAGTGCCTTTACCTAACACTTTCAAAAACTCGAAATTTTCAAGGGTCTAGCAGAAAATAAATTAAATTGTATCAAATATTTTAACTGTTAAATAAGGCCACACTCTACGAGGTCTGTTCAAAAAATAAGATTATTCAACAATTCCCATATTGGCCCTTCAAAAGAGTCTCCGTTAGATATTTGCCCCAGCGTTTTTCTTTTCTTTCGATCTCCGAAGCAGTTCTGATTAAGCTTACTTAAAAGCACCGAGATTGCTCCCTATATTGATATTGAAACGTAAGCATAACCTTAATAATAAAACTGCGATTGATGGTGTTGGTGCTGTTGCGATCGTCAAGAGATGGACACTAAGACCTCATATTGTGTACTGGCTATATAAAGTGGCAACAAGACTCAACAAGACGGGGTCACCGGATGGGGCTGAAAAAAGCTCAGCGGAAGGGCTACACGCTCACCACAGATGGTGGACTGTAGGCTGGGCAAAGTAGCTGCTCAGGTAGCCTTTACCAGAAGGGCTAACATCAGATCAGATGGTAGAGCAAAACCAAGTGTAATGTGACAAGACAAATCTGGTCATTAATCGAGGTAAACAGAACTAAATCTCTACTTCTTCTAAACCGGACCTCTATTAGCATAACAACCGACGTAATAACCGCACACTGTCTTATGGAGACTCATTGTAGAACGATGGGCTGCTTCTTAGGGACATAGATGGGGAGAAATTGGTGGAACACTATCTCTGACTGTCCAGCTCTCAATGCGGTGCGACATCGTTTTCTCGGAAATTTCTTATTTCATTGCTTTGCAGACGCCTACCGAGGCATTAATATTCTGGATTTCATAAAACACACAAAGTTGTTTGAGCATTTGAGCAAGGGGAAAGAAATCACTCTAGCAGGACGAAAATAGGTATCACAACCTGTAATGAGTCTTTTCAGCCTTGGAATCAGGAAAAAACAGCAGGGACCGAAATAAGCAATGAAGGGTTGGAGAACACACGATATACCATTTCAGATACATGAAAGGTAATAATAACAGTATTAATAATAAAGACAATCGATTTTACCCTACTTCTTGAACTGACCTCGTAAATCGCTTAAAATCTTCAAACGGATTGAGCTCCGAAAATATGCCTTTGCCAATACTTACGACTTTTTTAACACCGCCACTAGTGCGTTTCGTTGTGCCCTGCACGGAGAAACTGTTACGCAGTTCCACCTCAGCAATAGATGCCATATCCACGTCAGACATGTCTGTTGAGGTCGATAGCGACATAGCCGTTTCGCCCAATTCACTCAAGCGGCTCGCTACGTTTCTGTTGGTCATAAGGAGACAACATAAATAAAAACGTATATATATATTGTATAATGTGAATACAGTTATAAGTGCATACATATGTACTAGTATATGTATGTATGAATGAATGAGTGAATGACGGTTGGTAAACTCACCTAATGGCATCAGTCCACTGTTGCCTTTCAATCTCCTTTTCCACACAAAAAGTGCGCTCAATAACATTTGTCCGTTGCAGACCGCGTATTATAAATGTGAACGGTTTGGGTCGATCGACTGTCATAATTTGACAACCGCGTACTGTGAAATTGTTTAATGGATCAGCGGGTGCATTATTCACCGGCGGGCTTTTATAGCCCATCAATGTGCCATCGTCGCGCAGTATGAAATAACGCGAACGCCAAGTTTTTATATGTTCGCCACGCTTCTGTAGCCAGCCTTCTTTGACGATTGTGGCCAGTGGACCACCGCCAAGCGGTTCATATGTGGGCGACAAGCCAAGCGCAGCTGTGCTGCTGCTGCCGCTGCTACTGCTGTTCGGTGCAGCTGTGCCACTAGCAGCCATTGCACGATTGCTGCCACTACTGTTAGGGTTGTTCGTAAAGTAAGTACTACTAGTAGTAGAACGATTTTGTTGCGATTGATGATGTTGATGTTGTTGCTGTTGTTGTTGTTGCTTTGTATTGTAGGCTGTGGGAGGCAATTTTTGATAATTTGGTATTTCGGTTGCTATTATTGGCTCTTCAGTTGCTGTTGTTGCATAGGCAGTGGTATTATTGATAATAGTATTATTACTAGTATTGGTGTTGTTGCTATTGTTACTATTACTACTATTGTTGCTGCTACTGCTAAATGGATTCGAGAATGTAGCGGCGAAACTCGAACTCAGCAGGCCAAGCGCAGACGATGACGATGAGACACTAGACGACGCAGAGGCAGATCCCGCTGAAGTGGCTAATGCAGTGGTGCTGACGGCCGGTGTTTTGCCACCACTTGTTGCGACTACAGTTGATCGCCGCGACGATGTGAAGGACAGGTAATTCGTGGTGAGGCTTTTTCCAACAAACACAAGTCAAAAAAAAAAAAACAAAAGACAGCAACAAACCGTTACCACTTGTTGGCCAATTAAGTGAATATTATGTAGACATTCACCAGCTAAGCAACGATTAAACGGAACGGAATGCAATACAAAGTTAATAAACAAAGAAAAAAAGGCTCCAAACAGAAAAGTAGTCGAAAAAAACACAAACAATTTTGGTACGTAGTAAGTAGACACCGCAAACGTAAAACGAAACGTAGACGTGGGCGCTGCTATGTAAACACGCGCACGCACTGGTTGTGTGTAAACACGGCTTGATTACTGACTTATTTGTGCTTTATTATCACAACAACAACAATGTGACACTCTGACACTTTTTCAATTTATGTACATATGTTTATATGTTTATATGTGGATCTACTTTTATCTCCACTAATTCAATTCAATATATATTTTTACTACAAAGAGACGATATTTACGCCGCACTTAGCCACCGCCGACTCCAGCCCGTTTGGATGCGCGTAAAAGTTTGTACGTTCAGTGCACTTCGGTATCTGAAATGGAAATGAAAAAGAGACATTCAGTTGAGGAGTCAGTCGCACTACCAAAAGGTAAACAAAATTAAATTACAACTACAGCAAAGCGAGTAAAAGCCAACAACTACTAATGAATACCCGCTGCGTCTGTGTGTGTGTGTGTGTGTGTGATTTACAACAGCGTAGCCGTTGATGCGACGGAAAACACAATACTGACATGTAGCTGCGCGCTTCGAGCAGCGCGCCAGAATACACCACAGAGAAAAACCAAATTGCATACAACAAAAATTATAACAATAAGATAAAATTTGCACAGTGGTTAAGAAAAAAATTTGTTGAGAAAATAATTTTTTTCAAACAAGTTCAAAAATTTGGCTAAAAATTAAAAAATTATCATATAACGGCATTTTTCACGTCAACAACGTCAACATATCAAGATAAATAAAATTTACGAATACAATTATACGTTTTCTCATCTATTTTTCAATACAGCGAATAAGAAGGTGACAAAACCCACAATTATTTATTGTACCCATTATTACTTTTATCAATCCTTTTCTGTCGCCATAACCATATTCTGTTCAACTACGAGGTGTGTTCAAAAAGTATCGCGAATTTTGTGTTTTTTCAAAAATTATTTATTTATTCATGAATATCTATTTTGTCCCCTTCAAAGTAATCCCCATGAGATATTATACACTTGTGACAACGGTTTTTCCAATCTTCGAAGCACTTCAAAAAATTTTTTTTATCTTGTTCAGCTTCTCCTCGATGCCCTCTTTATCTCGTAAATCGTAACGTAACGTCGTCCTTTCATGGGCCTCTTCAGTTTAGGGAACAAGAAAAAGTCACAGGGGGCCAGATCTGGGGAATACGGTGGCTGCGGCATCATTAGTGTGTTGTTTTTGGTCAAAAAGTCACGCACAAGCAACGATGTGTGTGCAGGGGCGTTATCGTGGTGCAAAAGTCAATTTTTGTTCTTCCACAAATCCGGGCGTTTCTGGCGGATTGCTTCGCGCAAATTGCGCATAACTTGTAGGTAATACACCTTATTGACCGCAATACCATTTTCTCCGCTTCATTAATTTTTTCGTCTGTTGTTGAAGTGCTCAGGAGTCCGGCACGCTCTTCGTCGTTCACATCTTCTCGGCCTTCTGAGAACATTTTGTACCACCGATAAACGTTGCTTCGGTCCAAGGTAGCATCTCCGTATGCCACAGTCAACATGCGGAATACATCCGCGCACTTAATTTCGTTTTTCACAGAAAATTTGATACAGGTTCTTTGATCCATTTTTTTGAATAGGTAAAAATCGAAGACCATCCAAAACACGTGCAAGCAAAGCAGCTGTCAACAATTAAGTGAACATTCCAAATGGCCGAGCTTTTCGGCATAAGTGACAGACATGAGCACCAACATAACACCACAAAAAAATCGAAATTCGATTATACGTAACCCGCGAAAATTCAAAATTCGCGATACTTTTTGAACACACCTCGTATGTACCGACTGACTATGTGCCTTGCACTGAATCTTTCAATGAAAAAAACGTTTCTCCGTTTTTCCATCTTGAAAAGAATTCACAGTTTCGTTCCATCATAAAACAAGTTTTGAATTGAGCAATTTCTTTTTCATCTTAAAAAAAAAAGATTTTCATCTTTTTTACCTTTTCTTCATCATACAAAAAATCACAATTTAGTTTTATTATAAAAGTTATCACAATTGTTTTAATATTTTTTTCATTCTTTTATATTCGTTTTCAACAAAATAAAAATTTTGAAAATTTTTACCCTTTTTTCATCACGAAAAAAATCTCATAATTTCTCTTTTTTCATTTCCAACTTGAATACTATTAAAAAAATTAATATTTTTTTATAAACTTTTGATTTTGTTAAATTCGTTCTCGCAGCAGCAGCATCCCGTCAGAAATCATACAAAATTGCAAAAAAAAAAGTTTATGAGCATTCATATGCATGAGCATTAAGTCGAGCCATAATCTCAATAAGAAACTTAATTAACTAAATAAAATTTCTTTAGCTTTTGTTATTTTGAAAAGGTCAACATATTCTGAAAAAGTTATAGTGATGATAATTTTTTTCAAACGTGAATCATTCATTTACAAAAAGTCGTTGTTGTTTTCTTCTCGGCAAATTCCCCCATGGCGCCGTTTGTCAAAAGAAGGTGCACATACCAAAACAAGCGAACATATTACCATAGCCACATATATATATGTATGTAAAGGCGAAAAGGCAAAAAGGCGAAAAAAACAACAAAATTTCATTAATGCATTGAATTACAAAACGTCGAGATGATTCATAGCTCGAAAATACATACATACAATTAGCAACGAATGTAGCCGCCGAGCAACAACCATCACCAAATGGCCGCCACCACCATTCGCCGAAATCCTGCACCACATAGTCATCAAGCTGACACAAAAGCCATCACTGCCAAGCGGGAAAAAATTCCCTGCACTTGGACGCGATCACTGGCCACTGCAGCTAGTGTAAAACATCTGCATGCCCGAAACCCCTGTCGCTGCAACAACAAAGCGATTGCTCCTCGGGTGTTGTTGCCCTTTTCTCTGTACGCATTATATGTACATGTGTATATGTAAATGTACGGAATGGCTAAGCGATATCGCTGCCATCATTTCATGCACCCCACCCCCTTGCTCTCAACCCCGCTATCACTGCATTCTAGTTTATACTGGAAGTTTTAATTTGCTTATTTCATGCTACATATGTATGTATGTATTTTTCGCTATAAAAACCATTTATATAATATTTTTAATTCTTTAAATCTAACCAACGAATAAAATTATATACATATTTACACATGTCTAGATGTATTTATAAGAAAATCAAAGCGTGGGAATGCAATGGAAAATAAGACGAAATAAGGATTTTAGTAATATTTTACATAATTAATTTTTAATAATTTAATTTTTAATCTTTTAATATTTAATAATTTAATTTTTAATTTTTTAATTTTTATTTTTTTAGTTTTTAATAATTTAATTTTAAATTTTTTAACTGTCATTTTTTCTAATTTTAATTTTTTTTAATTTTTGATTTTTTTGATTATTTTTATATGTATTTTATAATTTTTTCATATTTTTTTATACATATATATTTTATATACCTATGTATATACACATTTTTTTAAATTTTTTTAAATTTATTTTTAATTTTTTTATTCTTTCTTAAATTTTTTAAATTATTTTATTTTCTATTTTTCTATTTTTTTTATTTTTTTTTTACTTTNTTTTTTTTTTTTTTTTTTTTGCTAATTTTATTTTTTTCTTAGAATTTAAGATTTATTTTTCTATTTTTATTTTTCTTGGTTTTCTTTTTCTATTTTTATTTTCATTCATTTTTTATTATTTTCTTTATTATTATTTCCTTTTATTTTTTATTACAATTTTCTTTTATTTGTTTTATTTTTTTATATTATTTTCTTTTGTTTTTATTATGATTTTCTTTCATTTTTTCTTTTATTTCTTTCCTTTGGTTGTTGTCTTTGTTATTTTTTAGTTTTCTTTTTTATTTTTTTGTTTTCTTTTTATTTTTTTGTTTTCTTTTTATTTTTTTAATTTTTTATTTTTTTTATTTTTTATTTTTTTTGTGTTTTATTTTCTTTTCTTTAAGGTTTTTTATTGTTTCTTAACAAATTATATAAATTATCTTTTAATACGCTTTTTAATTTTTTTTATTTTATATTAATTATGTGAATGGTCTGCTAGTAACTGTCTAAGAAGCAATTTTCCACTTTTTGACTTAGATCCGTTATCTCTACAGTATTTACGTCAACACGTGATTACCGTCATACATACATATACACATGCATACTTGTTGGAGTATTTATCAACGCATTACATCAGGAAGTGCTTCACGATATTCTCATTTCGAAGCAGAATAATGACGCATACAAAATATATCCCAAATAAAATGCAACGCCACACAGTTCATGAGGTAAGTAATTAATATGCATAGTGTATAAAACAAATTGCAAATTGCAAATTACAAAATGCAATAGCAAATACGTCAACACTCGAAAATAATGTGTTTATTAGTCAATATGTTTTCATATGTGTGAATATATATATATATATATATATGTAATATGTGCATATGTATTTATGTAAACCTTTATTCCCTGTACATTTCTGGTACTTCCCCAGCAGATTTTACAACTATTCGAAGGAAACATTTAAAACGGATTATAAATCAGCAAACGACTGTCATATTGTATTTATTCCAATCGGAAGAAAATTAATAAGATACGAAATAAAAAGTAGATAAACGTATTTAATTAACTAAAAGGAGGGAGTAGGAATTTATTTTGCGATAAGTCGTACCCGTTATAAAGGGCGACGAAACGCAAGTTTCCTTTTCAACCCGAGATAAATCACTGGTAGTAACGACAAGACTTTCATCACCTAACAAAACCGCTCGCCTCGATGCGCTACTGGAAGGCGTTGAACGAGAGTCAGCACCTTTTTAGCTCTCAACCGCAAAGCCCATTTTTTTATTTTTTTTTTTGTTGCTAAAAAACGTTTTTCTAAATTTGAGGTTAGTTAAGCTCCGTTTGGCTTAGGGAGAATCGAAGCTCTGAATATTAACTTCTTTTAAGATTAATAAATATTCTCATATTTGAGATCAAATTTATATTTAAAATATTTATACCTTTCAATGCTATTTAAATGGTATATTAACATTGGTTCGACAAAGAAGAAGAGATGGGCCCATACAAATTTATTCCGATATGAACAGAATGACGAGTTGAGTCGATTCAACCATGTCCGTCTATCCGTCTATTCCAAACAAACTTAGTACACAGAAATATGGAAAAAATCAAACATTATACCGTTGTGACGTTCCTTACCAAACAAAGAAAACCAGTTAATGGTTTACGGCGACTTTTGTCCGGGAGCAACCATGATGCACAAGTGTCACATGGAAGGATTTTTCTTAGATCTATTAAAATTTAAAAATCATATCCTTTATAGTGGTTTG